GCATCTGGTAACCACGCCTTTGGCCAAACGTCCTGTTATTCAGTCTTGAGGGGCAAAGACAAGCTTGAACTCTGACCTTAAGTGAAGATAAAATCAAGCCCCAAGCTCGAGTCACTGTGGGCTCCCACAGTGGGGAGCGTAGTGACAGGCAGGCTGGCCAGCGCGGCACTAGAGAAGCAGCTGAGAACTCACATCTGACCCACAAGATGAAGGCAGAGAGAGAGACTGGGCCTGGCATGGGCTTTTGAAACCTCAAATCCCACCCCCAGTGACACACTTCCTCCAACAAGGCCACACCTCCTAAGCCTTCCTAGACCGTTCTCCAAATGGGAACCAAACATTCAAATATATGAGCCAATTGAGGCCATTCTCATTCAAACCACCACAGAGTGGCCACCTGTTTTTGTACTCCTGAAGTGAAATGGAAACTTTTTCTTGTCTCTGTAAGCAGAGGGTGATGGACTCCAGAGAACAGAGGGGTGATGGAAATTCCGCAAATGGTACTGAGATAGAGACCCGAAAACAGCTGTGAACAAATCATCCAGAACGCAGAAGCAGGCAAGCAGCCAGAGAATCCAGAGCAGGTGTCTGTAACGTCTCCAACATTACAGGAAGGAATGGAGAGAAGAAGAGAAGGAGGATACAGAGAGAGGTGGTGGGTGGGGGATTATTTATGAAGTGTTATTCCAAGAGGCAAGCTCTGATTTTCAAAATGGATGAATTTTAACAGATATTATATTTGTATGGTTCAAAACATGCATGAAAAATCTGTTTCCATTCACGACACCAACCATCCTGATCTCTAAACACACATCTTATTGGTTTATTGCAAGCTGTTTTGGTGTTCTTTAACATGAAAATGTTCGTATGTCCTTCACTTTACAGCTTTACACACATGTGCATGTTTGTGCATGTGCATGTGTGTGTATGTGTGGTTGCATGTATGTGTGTGTTGTGTGTGCATGTGGAAGTTTCTGCATGTAGAAGTATGTGTGTGCATGTGTGTGTACATGTGGCTGTGTGCATGTGTATTCACATTTATGTGTAAATGTAAACATGTATGCATATGGAGGTTTGTGTGTGTGTGTTCATGTGTATGTGTGAGCACACACATTTGTGCATGTGGGGTTGTGGTATGTGTATGTGTGTGTGTGTGTGTGTGTGTGTGTGTGTGTGTGTGTGTGTGCACGTATGTGCGTAAGGGATGGGTTTGTGGGGTGTGGGATACTGCTTTTGTTCATTTCTGTTGCTATAATAAATACCCTGACTGAAAGCCACTTAGGACAAATGTTTACTTTAGCTCACACATCCAGGTTACAGTCCTTCCTTGGAGGGGAGTTAAGTCACAGAGGCAGTAGTTTGAGGCAGCTGGTCATACCACGTCCACAGACCACAGTAGAGAGAAACAAATGCATCGTGTTGGCTGCTTTGCTTCACATCACTTCCTGTATGCTCACACAGTCGAGCACCCTGCCTATGAACTGTGCCCTCCACACTCAGGATGTGTCCCCACCCTCAGTTAGTATCCATTTCCACAGGCCAACCTGACCCTGATAATTCCTGAAGACTCTTCCCAGACAGCTCCAAGTTGTAGCCCACTAAACAAGGAATGTACTTACGTCCAGTCAGTCTACTGTCAACGAGAACTCCTGGTAAGCCGCTGTGACTGCAAAGACCAGCTGACTTATTAAAACTGCAGTGATGTGACAGGGCTGAAATGCTGCAGGCCCAGAGGCCAATGACCTTATCTAGGGCTCTAGCTTTAGCCCCCTCAATAGCCAATCCCTGCTCACCTCTGTGTTAGAACTAACATCTGTGACTAACAGTTAAAAACCTTCTGGAAACTATTTTAAAATTGTTTTCAAGTGTATGGGTATTTTGCCTACATGTATGTCTGTGTACCACATGCATGCCTGGTGCCCACTGAGGCCGTAGGAGGGCACTGAATCCACTGGAACTGGAGTTAAAGGTGGTTGTGAGCCACCGTGTGCGTGCTGGGAATTGAAACTGGGTCCTCTTGTAAAGAGGATAGTGCTCTTAACTGCTAAGCCATTTCTCCAGCCTTTGGAGTCTGTGAACTTAACAGAGCACCAGCTTCCACCAACCCAGGAGCTAGGAGTATCAATAGCGTCCGAGCGAGCATCCTGCATCTTGGTGCAACCTCCTCTCCAGTGTACCCACCAATGCACTTTAATCTTGCCTTGATTTATGCCTTTCTTAGTTCTGTAAAACTATAAAACTGCTCCCATATTGAAACATGGAATTTGGGTAACCCAAATCTGTGTTCCCAGATAATGAGCACCCAAATTTGGCTCCAGAATAAACTACCTCTTATTCCCTTTAAGGTAAGAGCTGTGAGGGTTTTTTTTTTTTTTTTGTATGTCAATAATACACATACACACGCACACACATATGAACACACACATAAGTACGTGTGTGTGTGTGTGTGTGTGTGTGTGTGTGTGTGTGTGTGTGTGTGTATCATCACAAACAGGAATTCCAGGTCAGAGTATAAATGCATTTATAACTTGGGGAGATAATGACAAATATTTCCAGAAGTTCTAACATTTCTGACAAAAGATGAAAGGACCGTATCTCCAGAGCTTTGCCAGCAGGTGGTATTGTCAAACATAAAGGTTGCTAATGTGGGCAGTGAAAGTAGCAATTCTAAGTTGCATAGATCTCTATATGAGTAAGAGCTGACCTATTTTCATACTTACATTTCTCTCCCCTGTGGAATACATTTTCATTTTATTTGCCCTTATTTCTCTGGGGGGTGTGTATGGGGAGGTGTGCATTTCTGTATTATTGAGGAAAAGAAAGTGTAGTTGGACTTTCCTTTGGGCCACAAACTCACAAACAACACGGAGACTTATTATTAATTATGAAAGCTTGACCTTAGCTTAGGCTTTTCCCCCAACTAGCTCTTATAACTTAACCTGTTTTTATTAATCTATGTTCTGCCACGTGGCTCAGTTACCTCTCCTCTGTACCGTATGTCCGACCTCTTCAGTGTCTCACTGGCATCTCCACCTCTCTTCTTCCCAGAGTCCTCTCTCTCCTGGAAGTCCCTCCTATTCTCTCCTGCCTGGCTATTGGCCATTCAGCTCTGTATTAAACCAATCACAGTGATACATCATCACACAGTGTAAACAAACAACCCACAACAAGGAAAATTAGCAATAATAACACCAATATTTTTTTAAGTTCCTCCATTTTGGTAAACCGGCAACAGTTCCTGGAAACCACAGTAATTAGCATGCCAAACTAAAGTAGCTTGTTTTCCTGGATTTTACCACTCCTCACCCTTCAGGGCCTTAGTAATGGCTACCACAAGATATATCTATGCATCTGACATTCATTTACTCACCACTCACCGCTCTCTGCTCACTCCTAGCAAGGGCGTATCTCAGGCCCAAAGAGGCAGGTTTTTTGGTCTGTTCCTCATTCTTTCCCCTAGAGCTATCTCTACTCTGTAAGCTGGCAGCCAGCTCTCTGATTTCTGAACTGAAGACCTCCCTTCTACAGGTTCTCTCAGATTAAACTTGTTCAGTTGTAGAAATAGCTCATTTCCTTTGTCAACATTAAAAAAAAAAAATCTAACCTCAAAAGGAATAACAGATAGTTTACTCTAGAACCAAATATGAGAGACCGTCGCTCGTGTGGTGGTTTGAATGAGAATAGCCACGATAGGCTGAATGTTTAGTCTTCAGTTTGTGGAACTATTTAAGAAGGATTAGGAGGTGTGACCTTGTTGGAAGAGGTGTGTTACTGGAGGTGGACTTTGAGCTTTCAAAAGCCCATGCCAGGCCTCGTCTCCTTCTCTGCTGCTGCCTGTGGGACAGGTAAAAATTCTCGACTGCTCCTAAAGCATCATGCCAGCATACCTGCTGCCATGCTCCCCACCGTGATGCTCATGGACCAACCCTTGAAACTGTAAGCAAGCCTCCAATTAAATCCTTTCTTTTATAATCTGCCTTGGTCATGGTGTCTCTTCACAGCAACAGAATAATAATTAAGACAGTAAAGGAACATAGATTTAGGTTACTCCAAATTCCATTTTCCAACATGGAAGTCATTTCAGGAAGTTTTTATAGTAACAGAACAAAGGAAATCACAAATCAAGGCACTTTTCACATATATTTGTACAAGAATCAAAACAGTAACTTCTAGCCAAGAGAGAGAGATAGCCCTCAGATGCATGCTATCTGGGGATTCTTGGGTAGGCAGTAACTAGTGGTCAGTTAAGTCAATACATTCCAAAAAGTTTTTATCTATTAGTCACAGGATGTTAAGTCACACCCAGAAGTGGTCCAGGGATGGCTATTTATGGGGCTAAAGATAGGCCAAGATAAATTGCAACTCACCTCTTAACTTGCAATATTCTAACCTCTCTGCCATCTCTGAAGCTATAATCAGCTAACTAGCCGAGCAGAAGGTTCAGTTGGAGCTCCCTGGGAACTGCCTTCGTTTCCCCCACCCCCACCTTTGCTTTTGCCCACTTTCCAGAGGCAACATAAAGTACAAAGGTGGACAGGTTGTAGCAGCTACCCTGTTCAGTAAAGGGTACCAGCAAATCGTACCTAAAATCTGAGGTGGGAAATAGCATCATTGGATGTTATTTAAAATGTGGAAATAAATGTCGTTGAGTAGTAGTTAAACTAATAAAAATTAAGGTACAACAGAGGGTCACCAGAACACCAAACCATAGGCCTCAGCTCTGAATCTGAATACTCACCCTTAAGATAAAAATAAATTTGCTTAAACTTTTGACCAAAACTGAAGAAAGAAACTACTCTGTCTGTTCCTTCCTTGCTAGAACAGTGCCACAGACCGTAGAAACTGTGAAACAAAGCCAGGAAATGAGCATATGTGGACTTAGCTGTGGGCCAGAGATGAGGCCAGGAGCATAGAACTTTCTACTTTTGCAGTGTGTCACTTTCATGAGGTATTCTCTACTGCAGGAAAACATGGGCATTCAAGAAGAATTTCTAAAATGAACCCTGCGGTTTCAAAGAGACTTTGTATCTCGACTATGGCTCACATATCGCCGGGACTTCCCACCCCTAGCTAGGGGCAGCTTGACCTCAGACTGTGGCTGGGGATGTATGTTACGAAGTGACCAGATGATGCTGGCCCAGGGCCTGCTCCTGCATTTTCTGCCTAGAGAGTGGAGGTGGATGGAGGGCACAGGCCTGGCTTCCCCTGAGATGTCAGGGCCAGCCTCTCCCAGCCGCTACCGTGGGCCTGGTGGTCCTGTGCCCTCACGATGGACCCAGGCTACACTGGAGATGGAGCAGGATCGTTGGCACCGGCGGATTGTGTCCTGGTTTCCGCAGGCACCCTTTGGGCTACATCGGCTAGTGGAGCTTGGGCAGAGCTCTGGCAAGAAGGCGGGAGAGTGGTACGGGCCCTCTGTGGTGGCACACATCCTTAGGAAAGCTGTGGAGAGTTGCTCAGAGGTCACCCGCCTGGTCGTGTACGTCTCTCAGGACTGCACAGTGTACAAGGCGGATGTGGCACGCCTGGTGTCCTGGCCAGACCCCACGGCTGAGTGGAAGTCTGTGGTCATCCTGGTACCTGTGCGCCTGGGTGGGGAGACCCTCAACCCCGTGTATGTGCCCTGTGTGAAGGAGCTCCTTCGGTCAGAACTCTGCCTAGGCATCATGGGGGGCAAACCCTGGCATTCACTGTACTTCACTGGCTACCAGGATGACTTCCTGCTGTACTTGGATCCCCACTACTGCCAGCCCACAGTGGATGTCAGCCAGGCTGACTTTCCCCTTCAGTCCTTTCACCGCACCTCACCCCGCAAGATGGCCTTTGCCAAAATGGACCCCAGCTGTACCGTAGGGTTCTACGCTGGGAACAGGAAGGAGTTTGAGACTCTCTGCTCGGAGCTGATGAGGATCCTCAGCTCCTCCTCAGCCACAGAGCGATACCCCATGTTTACTGTGGCTGAGGGCCACGCTCAGGACCACAGCCTGGATGCCCTCTGCACCCAGCTCTCCCAGCCCACACTGCGGCTGCCTTGCACAGGACGCCTCCTGAAGGCCAAACGACTCAGCTCCGAGGACTTTGTGTTTTTATAGTGGGAAGGGATGGGGAAAGATGCCAGACTATTTATTTTTTTATTTATGTCATGTCAGGTATGGGATCTAGAACTCCGATGGCAGTGGTGGATCCCCTGTCCTCATGCCCCCCATCCTCCCCAACAGAGCTGACATCTGTCTAGGCCCCCAGCTTGGGGCTGTGCCCTTTAGCTGCCCCCATGCCCCCTCAGGAGCCAGGGATGGAGAGTGGGCTCCAGGGCACTCACTCAGGGCCTGATTGAAGTTCTGTAGCCTGCACTGGATCACTGTACTCACTGGTCCCAAGGTCCCAAAGCCCCTGTCCTGGGAGAAACGACTGGCTGCTGGGTGGAGGCTGATAAAGACACAGACTTGAAAAAAAAAAATGAACCCTGATACTTGGGGCCCTGTTATACAAGTATCACAACTTTTAAATTCAAATTTTAAATTATTAAAGCAATCAAGTATATTTTTGAAAACTGATGTTCCTATATTCTCTTTTCTAAACTAGTCTGGAGCAGAGGATGGCTACTCACAAAGCAGGATGACCACAAATTAAAGGCCTATCTGGGCTACAGAATGAGATCAAGGTCAACCTGGGTGAAGCTACTCTGAAAAACAAAGATACAGAAATGATAAATAAATAAATAAATAAATAAATAAATAAATAAATAAATAAATGGGTAGATTGTTGAAGCTACTCTGAAAAGAAAAAAGGGGAGGATATAGATATGATAAGATAAAAAGGTAGATTATTGAATCTACTTTTAGAAAGGAACTACTAGTTTTAAATATTTTATATTAGAATGGATTTTTGTATATTGTATAATTATGTATATTGATACAAATTTGAGATTGATTTTGTTAGAAAATACTATACATAAATTTCTAATCTTGTTCAAGGTATTGTACCTATACAGTTCATTTAACAATGTAATGCAAATTGCTAGTCCTTGAAAGTTATTATTACCAACTAATTAGGATATAAAAAATAGTCACTACAATCAAACTTGTAGTCATATTGGATATGTTTTCAAGGTTAAACAGAAGTATATTTTAGATAGACAGGTCATCTTCAAACACTTCAGAGATCTATAGAATATGTAATTTAAAATGTTTTAATAACAAAGATTTTTTTCTTTATTTATGACTATGAGACATGTCTGCTCCTGGCAGCACCAATCTACTTCAGAGAAGATGATGGGCATTGAAGAAATTCCATATGGACTTTACTATCTTTGGGACAAAAGTTAGCCACTGGGCAAGAAAATGCCCTTGCCTCAACTGCTGACAGTATGCTGTCCAAATGGACAAGCAGGACGCAAAAGAAAGGACAGCTCCATTTTGCCAAGACAAAGTAGGACAGTCCTTCAGAAAATCCTGCTTCACAGAAAAGTCTGTCAGGTATTCTAGGCCTGTAGGCCAAGATGGATGCCTCAATGTTCCAGAGGAACCTTGGGTGACTGTCCAGGCAGCCAGCTATTTCTGTCATTTCTCATTTTTTTTGGAAGTCACTTGTTTGCACTTCCTGCTTACTTAGTTAATATTTTTTCCTTCTCAGGTCTCTGAGAGAGTTGAAGATTAGATAGTTTTAGTTATAGTTTTCCTTGTTATCAAATTCAAAAGAGAAACTCACTAAAGAGGTGTAAAGTGTATAGGTTTGAAAGACATCAAAAGATAGTTTTGGGTTGGTAATGCAAATTAGGATAGAAGATGAATTAGATACAATCCTTTGGACTCACAAAGATAGGATAGATAATGGAGTATTTTCTCTGAATTTGTCAAATGCATATGGACTAGACATTGTTGATATATTTATTGCCTGTATATATTATATATACCTATTGTATATAGTTTTTCTTATACTAGTTATAACCTTCTTTTATTATTTTAGACAAAAAGGGGAAATGTGGTGATATATTATGTACTCCAATAAAGCTTACCTAAGGATCAGAGGACAGAGCCAGCCAATAAATTAGATTACATTACCATTTTTCTTTAAACCTCTGGAAATCATCCCTCCTATCCAAGCATCATCATGGTCATGAGATTCAATATTAATTGTATCTTGGATCCATTCCCCCAAGGGTGCTGATCTTGCCTTTAACAGCCTAATTACCCTTCCTGCTTCTTCAATTCTGTCCAAAGCACTCAAGGCTGCCATTCAGCATAAAATTAGGGTGTGGTCATCATATAAAGATCGTCTTTGTAGATCAACATAATCACCTTCTCCAAGAAGTTGATCCTGGGAAATTTCCATACCTCTAGCCCTACTTTGTTGTTCAGTTGTTTTAGCCTCATCTTTCCACCAGGTCCTCCATTGTAACTGGGGACCAGCCTCTAAGATTGCTGTACAACTAAATCTTTCCAGTCTTGAGGGATAATTCTTTTACAAGTTGACCATGAGTTTAACATTTGCTTCATGAACAAAGAATGCATACCAAATGACACTATAGCTTCTTTGAATCTCCTCAAATCTAACATTTGCACAGGAGTTCAATCAGATTATACACAGCCTTGAGCATTTGGCAATTCCTGTATGGTTACTGTATAGATTAAGGTTGGCTGTTTGAAATTCTTAGGCTGTTTCTTTGTAACCATACAATGCAATGCTGAGATTGGTTCACCTTTAAATTCCTCTGTCTGGGTCTGAATTCTCTATGATCTGTTTAACAAGTTTTTCTAAAATTTTTATCTTATCATTAACCAACCTTATTAATGATAAAACAGAAATGATTAAGCAAATAATATTTATAATTGACATTATATCTACCCCATCAACATTAGTTATCTCATTAGTTGTTCCATTTCAGACTGCCTAATGTGTTATCAAATAGACTAAACACCCTTCAGTGTTAAAATGTTTCCCATTTTTTTAATGTGGTAAAAAAATTCTCGGGGCTGGAGAGATGGCTCAGAGGTTAAGAGCACTGCTTGCTCTTCCAAAGGTCCTGAGTTCAACTCTCAGCAACCACATGGAGGCTCACAACCATCTGTAATGAGATCTGGTGCCTTCTTCTGACCTGCAGGGATACATGCAGGCAGAACACTGTGTACATAATAAATAAATAAATCTTTAAAAAAAAAAATTCTCTTTAATTTTTCCCCATTAAGAAATTTTAATTGACTCACCAACTCTGCTGTGTTGAACAGTAAAAGCCCAAGTAGCTGTGGCAGCCCAAAATAGGCCAGGGAGACCCCACAACCCACCAAGAGAGAAGAAGTGAAAGATCCAGCCATCTGGATCCAGCCGGTTAGGGACTCCAGCCCATGTGTGGGGTGGAGACTCTGGCCATGTGCAGCTCAGGATTGAGCTGGGGCCTGCAAGGCCACAGGCAAGTGGCTTTTTCATGAATTTGTGCCACAAATGTTGGGTGCCAGATGTAACATGAATCTTAAAAGGTCTTATAATAAAAAACCCAGAGCCAGATATTGGGGTTAAAGCTTGAAAGATCAGAGAAGCAGAACAGCCAGTCACTAGCTTACCTCTATGAAATCCTCATCCTCAAGAGAGTGAGCTCCTGTTTCCTCATGCCTTATATACCTTTCTTGTCATGTGCTGGGATTAAATGTGTGTGTCACCACTGCCTGGTTCTGTTTCTCTCATGTAGCCCAGTGTGGCCTTGAAGTCATGGAGATCCAGACAGATCTCTGCCTCCTAAGTGATAGGATTAAAACCACTACCTGACTCTCTTTCTAATTTATTGCTTGGCTCTGTCCTCTGATCCCCAGGTAAGCTTTATTGGGGTACAGAATATATCATCACAATGTGGCTTTATGCCCTACTCCCTAGTTCATATGTTTGGAAGTTTAATCCTCAGTGTGGTGATGAGACCTATGGGCTGAGGTAGAAAGAAAGGAAAACTTGGCTGGATACAGGGAAAAAAGAAGACTCCTACTCCAGAGTCTGGTTGAAGCCTTTCACCAGATGAGAATCAGCAGTTCCTGCTGAGTCCTGTGGGGTTGGGTCCTGTAAATCTGCCTGAGAAGGACAGAAGTTTAAGAAAGACAGACACAAGTAACATAAAGCTGGTCTCAGGTGGGCTATGCACTCGGGGAGATGCACTAGGAGCAGCCTAGAGACTCAGAGCATGTGTTATAAATGGCATGAGCATGGAGGAGGGTTAGTGAATCTCTGTAGAAGGGTTCTCTATAGGGAACACGAGGTCTTGCAGTCATTAGGAAGCTTTGGTCAGAGTCCTCTGCACTTTTTGTTTATAGAAAAGAATCAACTGTTGGCTTGATCTGTTTGGGAGGCATCCAGGCAGTGGGACCAGATCTTGTGCTCATTGCATGAGTTGGCTGTTTGAAACCTGGGGCCTATGCAGGATTGTTTGGCTTGGCCTGGGAGGAGGGGACTAGACCTACCTGGACTGAGTCTACCAGGTTGACCTCAGTCTGTGGGGAAGGCTTTGCCCTGGAGGAGATGGGAATGGGGGGGGGGGCATTGGGGGGAAGGTGAGGGGGACGGGAGGGGGGAGAACAAGGGAATCCGTGACCGATATGTAGAACTGAATTGTATTGCAAAATAAATTAAAATAAATTAAAAAAAAAAACATAAGCTGGGAGAGAATAAAAAAAAAAAAAAAAAAGAATCAACTGTTTGTCAATATCTGTACTTGAACCAAAGGAAACCTTGCCGTTCACCTGAGTCTGAAACATTGGCATCCTTGACATGGCTATGCTCGTGTCCCGAATGCTCATTCATACAGGAGTACACTCACTCCCCCCAAATTCTAACAGAGTTAACATTTGTTTAAGGCATTGCCCCTTTCCCTGCTATAAACCTGCAAGGTTCTAGAACTCTCACCAGAAACCTCATTTAAGAATAAATAGACATGTCCTAACCTCCTTTGAGAATCTTATAATTCCATGTATTATCTGATCAGTTTTTTTCTTCTTCCTCTTCCTCTTCTTATTCTTCAACTTTTATTCTTCTCTTATACAACCGCAATTCCTCTTCCCTCCACTTCTCCTCCCTTCCCCTTCAAAAAAAAAAAAAAAGAACAAGTCTCTGAGGGATATTCACTGAACATGGCCTAGCAAGATACAGTAAGATTGGCACAAACCCCTCATATCAAGGCCATATGAGACAACCCAGTAGGAGGGAAAGGGTCCCAAGCACAGGCCAAAGAGTCAAAGATACCCACCACTCCCACTGTTGGGAGTCCCACAAGAATACCAAGCTACACAACCATAACGTATATGCAGAGGACCTAGGTTAGACACGTTTGTCCCTTTAGTCTCTGTGAGCACTTATGAACCCTGCTTAGTTGATTCTATGGACCATATTCTCATGGTGCCCTC